CCTCTTGATTGGCCTCTCTTTCTGTCCCCTGCTCCCGCCTCTCACTCCTCCTCCCTCCCAACCTTTGTTCTCCCGCTACTTTACCTTTGCCTACTGCCCTGTCTCTCTCACACCTGAAGAAGGCTCCACGGCCAAAACGTTATGTTCTCTTTCTTCTTTTTTTCAGCATGGAATAAACCTATTACTTGTTCCTTTGCAGCCTATGCATGCTGACGCAGCTACCCACCTGAACTACACTATAGATAGACTACACTACCTTTCTCACAAGGGTATCACACCAAAATGTTTGTATTTATTGATGTAATACAGAAACAACTTCACATTCTAAAACCCCCACTTTTAACATCTCCTAGAAATGTAAAAGAGTCAAAGAGTCCTCCAGCATCTGCAGTTTTGCAGGAGGGATGCATGAGAAAGTCATTCACTTTCATGAGAAAGTCAATCGGCTCAGGCCTGGCTGATGGAGGTAGAGAATGCTGTCCCCGGGTGTTGTTCCATAATATAACATACATGTGCAGTTGAGTTCAGATCTGGTAACTGAGAAGGCCATGACATATGGGTATCATCAGTGTCATACTGATCAAACTGCCAGGTGGCCACATGTGCTCAGTGGAGGGCATAGTCCTTCTGGTAGACTCCCCTTGCAGCAGGCAAGAAATTCTGCAGCATGAGGTAATGATGATAACTCATTAGTTATAACTATTAACTATTTAGTAGTGATTAGCATTGACTTTGTCTTCTAATGGAATGAATGTCCACAAACCATGCCAGGAAAATGCACCACGCAGCAAATTTAGAACCACCAGAACTCTCACTGTTGTAAAAAAAACAGTAAAAGGTGTCAAGTGCTTTAGGTTGTGCCACACATGCACTTGTCTGATTGTTGAGAACATGGTGAAGGATGATTTCATCTGACCATATCACATTTCTCCACTGTTCGGTTTTCTGTGCAGGACCCTAAGCACGAGGAGATATTAAGATAAAAGAGATCACTTTATTGGCCATATGAAATTTCTTGTATTATGAAAATGTCTTTTTCTCATACCTCAGCTTTCTTTCCATGAGACACACAAACGGGGAGAGTAGCTTGGGGTCAGAGCGCAGGGTCAGTCATTTATATGGCGCCCCAGGAGCAGTTGGGGTTAAGGGCCTTGCTCAGGGGCCCAACGGAGTAGGATTCCTTAATGTATTTTACATTATTATTAAATTATTTGCTTAATGTATGAGCCATAGTGGTGTGGAAGCTCTTTCAACATACTCAGTGTCCCTTATTTATCTGGGTGTTTCCATTTGTTGTCCACTACCTGTACATTTTCATAATTATATAAAATGTCATCTATTGCATACAGCATCTGGACTTCTTTGGTATTTTGTTCTTAAAAATATTTTAGTCAGTCAATGATGCCCTCTGGTGGTGATATTGCAACATATTAAACAATAAAATATAATAGAAACTGCAGATTTGATATGAAAAGTATCAAAGTATTCTTTAAGTATTTTTCTTTACAATGTGTGTTTTGCTTTTTCAGGGAATAAAGATCAGTGTCTTGTCTGTAAAGCACAATGTAAAATTCAGCCACTTTCAAACAAAGTAAGCAATCTTATTTCCTTTTCTTCATTTATGAGACATTAGAAATGTTATGTACTCGAAGTGTAGTACAAAGAATGATACTGTGTATTGTAATGATGCCTTAGTAGCAAAACTATCTACCGTCAACACAACTAAATTTCATGTTAAAAAAAATATATTTTAGCCTCAGATGTGTTCCTCTTCCATTTAATATAGATGATAATATAGTACACTTTTTAAAAGCTTTTAGAACTATGTGTTTGTACTCATCTGACAAACTGCCCGCTCTTAGCTTTCAAATGAAGGTCATATTTATACTTGTTTACTCTGATTTTAAAAATCCCCCAAAAAAATTTTTAAGAAGAATTTTGTGACTCTGTTTATGCAAATCGTGCATGTATCATTTTGGTTTTGCACATTAAACAATGATTTATTTAACTGGAATTTATTTAACATGTCTGACATGTGACAGTAGATTGTTTAGAAGAATTTGTCCTAGTTTGTGAAATTACAAAATGATACACATTTGTATATTTCATTTAACAATTATATTTTTAAATGTAATATTTAATAATTTTATTATTTAATTTAAGTCTTTCTCAAATTGAAGACTTCAAACTATGAGTACTGTTTATTCCACCCAGCCATTACCATTAAGGGTAAGATAAGTTAAAGTAAATGTCGGCAAAAACCAGCAATGTTGACTGCATACTGAAAGTATGCATTGTAACATATGTTGATCACATACTGTATGTATTCAGATCCATGAACTCAAAATTTGGCAGAGACACCTTTGGCAGCAATGACAACAGCAAGTCTTTTTGGGTTGATCTCTACAAATGTTGCACACTGGCTTGGTGCAGTTTTTACCCATTCACTTTGAAAATACAAGAATCTTTCGGACAGCAAATCTTTAGTCTTTCCACAGATTCTTAAATAGATTCAAGTCAGGAATGTGACTGGGCCACTCAAGGACATTCAATTTCTTATGCTTAAAACATGCCAGTGTAGCTTTTGGCTTGTACTTTGGATTATTGTCTTGCTGGAAGGTGAAATTGTGTCCCAGTTTTAGAGGAAAACCTGCTTCAGACCTAAAATTTGCCAGTACATTGCTCCAACTCCCATCAGTCTTGACAAGCGTCCGAGTCCCAGATGATAAGAAGCACAGCTATAAAGTAACGCTGCCACCAGCATGCTTGACACCAGGGGATATGTTGTTTGCATGATACATTATGTTGGGTTCATGTCAGATGTATCATTTTTCGTGTAGAACAAAAACGCTCACAGTGGCATCCTTAAACAGTTTCCTCCAGCTGTCTAGTGTGGAAGGACATCTTGATCTAGGTAGTGTCTGGGAGCCTTTCACTTCTTAATAATCAAGTTCACCATGCTCAAAGAAACATTAAGGGTCTTTGAAATGTTTTTTTACCCTTCTCCTGATCTCCTGAAATTACACAACTTTATCCCTGAGTTGTTTTGATAGCTCCTTGGTCTTCATGATTGAATCGTTGCTGGAAATTCAGTACCTGACTGAGAGAGTTCTCATGATTTCAGACAAAAACACCCATTATTGTCCCAGACAGAGCTCATTCAACTCATTTTTAAACTTGTTCAATTAATGTTTTAAATTAATTTAGGTTTGCTAAAGCAAAGGATTTTAATATTTTTGTAATTATGACGTTTACATTTTTCTTTCTTATTATCTGTTTTCTTCTTTCTGTGTTTTCTTGCTTTAAATGTGTGGAGTAGGTTTTGTATAAAATATTATTTTCCTAATTAACAAAGTGTCATGACTGCAAGTTTTAAAGCAACAAAATGTGTAAGGGGTTAAAAAGTTTATGGCCATAAGATAACATCCGTACCATGGGATGAATTTTTATTGTCTTGCATTCATTTACAAATAACCACAGACTGCTTACATCTCATTATTGATACGTTAGTTAAAAATGCTGTAGAAGTTATGAAGTCTTTCTATAAAATATGTTATCTATTTTGAACTTTTGTGCCATTTTTATATTTTCTAGCGAAGTAAATTCAAGTAATTTTGCTATCATGGCATATACACTTGTACAATTATAAGTGTACATTTATATGTTAGACTGTAGATTCCCCAAGGAGACGTATTTCTAAAATGCTTAAACCTGTTTTTCTGCAGAGCAGTCCAGAAGTCAAGGCTCTTTTCACAGACATAGAACCAATTTGTAAGAGGTATTGCTCAGAGATAACAAAGGTAATTGTTTCCTTTAAAGTTCTATAAAGTATATATTATTCTTTTCTAATGGGATATATGGATAATCTTTTCAAAAATACTTTAGTAAGCAAATGGATCTAATAGCAAATAGGCAATTACTGTTTTAGACAGAGGTTATAATTCAGTTCTGACAATGTCATCTTTTTGATATTTTTTACCCAAAGAATTTAAAGAAAAATACAATGTTCTTTACAAAAAGGAATAATTTAGTAATTTTACCAAACATAATTTAATTGTGTTAGCTTTGGCTTTGACTTAATGCATATTTTGTTAAAGAATTTCAAAATAACAAAAATAATACATCAAATAACATTAAAAATGAATTATTTAAAATGTCCTTGTGATTAGCTTTAACTTAATTACACAAATTGGAAATTTGAGAGATAAAGCTGGACCAAATTCAAGGCAAGATATTGGAAAACCAGTCCCACCATTTGTAATCCTGTGTGGACTGGAAGATTGGGTTTGGTGTAAATTGTTATTGAACAATTTACAGTCACTGATCTCAGAATTATATTGAAAGTCTGGTTAGTTACCCAGAGTTATCCATATGATATAGATTCAGTAGAAATCTTTTACCATCACTCTTGCAGTTACAGTATATTTACACTGTAGCATTTTGCATTTTTTTCATATTTACTGTGCTTTTTTGTAGTCTCCTTTCTAGTGCAAAATGTTTTTGTGAAGTATCTAAAATTATTGAATTTCCACAGAAGTATAGAAAGAAACTGCATTAAGTAGCAGCAGAAAGTTGTGCACACTTTCTATACTTTTATATCCTATTACTGTTTATTTGCAAGTGGATTAAACTCTCTGGCAAAATATATATTTATTGGTAGTTAACTTATACGTTTTTGATTGCTGTGTTTCCATATTATTTTTCTTCTTTGCCCAACTAAAGAAAAAGGACCATTCAGTAAACGTTTATTTAAAGTTTTATGAGATTGACATTGCATTACATTAAAATGAATGTAATAGGATACTTTAATTGTTTTTGTACTGTGACTTGTAATGTTCAGGATATTTGTAATGTAATATAATGTAAAATAAAAAGTGTAGATGCTATTGCAGTTGTTAAATAATTGCTTCTACAATATGGTCACAATATGGTTTTTGTTTTTTTTACACAGGTTTTAGAATTTCAAGAAAGACACAGGAAGAGGCTGTTAGCATACTACAAACAAAAGGTGAAATTTCTATTCTGAGTGCAAGTCGTCTTTTTAAATGAATAATCATGCTTTTTTGTTCTAACCACAGATTTGGAATAGCCAGTTGTGTATTTTTCACATCCTGACTTGTAGCTACAAACCCTTCAATTGCGCATAGGAGAGAATGAAAAAATAATTTTGTAAACAGTATCCCTGTCATCCTTCCTTAACATTTTCATAGATTTCACAATAGTACAGTTAATGCAATGTTACCTATGAATGCAGTAGTCTTGCATTTTGCTCCTTATAGTTAATGGTGCATATAATCTTAGCATATACAGTATGTGGCTTTGTAATATTGACTGAGGCATTCTGTGGAACAAATCTGAAATACATTGAAAAGTAAATACATTTTGAAACAGAAAATGTCTAGACGTATGGCAGTTTTAATTTCCCTCATACTGTAAGTAAAGGCTAATAACTGTTAAAATCAATTAATTCTTTAATACTTCATATACAGTATGTCCAGTACTATTTGTTACTGATACATTGAAAATTATTATTTAGAAAACTTTACAAGGAATTGCCATTTATCTCTATTTGGAGTTAAATAGTCATTTAAAAATATCAGTAGTAAAAATTGTGTTTGTGTTTTCAAACAAATCTGGGGGCAGAGTCTTGTCAATGCTCACATTCTTGAAAAAACTGCTTTTTTACAGAGTGAAAAAATGGAAGCATCACTTCAGAAGATGAAGGGTGAGATGCAACAGATGAACAAGTAAGAAATCTTTGCATTATTTCTTTTCAAGTATATTGAGCTCAGTAAGGTATAATGTACATCCCGTTTCTTTGTTAAGTTAGGGAAGTGTTACATATTTTTTGTGTTGTCTTTTAATTTACAGAAAAATTGGTGAACAGAAAGCCTACATTGCAAAATTGGAATGTTCACTGCAGAATCAAAGGTAGGTTTCTCTATTTTTTGTTTTTTTTTGAAGATGTGGGCAAAAATGAATCAAGTCCTTTCCAGAATATAGGCTGTGTCTAAGGGTTTGTTTCCATGTGTATTATAACATATAATAACAATTTGGGAGGAAGGTTAGAATTAATCTCGCATATTATCACTCACACCCAGGGCAAACTAAACTAAACTAAAATGTTTACAAGATATTAATAAAACTGCATTTCAGATGCCTTGTGCCTGTTTAGTATTAAGGCTATAAGAAAACTTGTAGTGGCAGTCCCATTGAAGCACACATAGTGCTTTTGTATAAGAAAAGAATATGAACTGATTAAAGTTTTTTTTAGGAACTTATGTTTCTTTATGAAAATGGGAGGAACTTCCCCATTTTGTTCCTTGAAATTATTTAGTTAATGAGATATACTCTGTCATCTGTCATAATTTATTTTGGTCACGTGAACAAGTGCATCATCACATCATGTGGCAATAACCACATGTATAAAGTGACCTAATGTCCTGAAATGTATTTTTAAATGATGTATGTATGTAGATGTAGTATCATGATATCATCCAGCAGACTCTCTTGACTTGCAGTGCTGTCCTGTGGCAAACTGTTACATACCTCTTACAAAATTAAAATTACATTTAAATTAATCCGGTGTTACTATTACTATTAACATAGTAAGGTTTCACTGTTTGTTTACAATGTTGACACATATGTTTATTTGTTCTTTTGCTTTGCTGGCTGTAGCACATGCACAAAACAGTAATGATAAACAGGATGAAATTAAATATGTCAGTCTTGATTTTAATTTTAACAAAACTGAGTATTTTCTTTTATACCTAGTTTGAGATCACAACAGTCCTATTGCACATCTTCCTCACCTGCCCCATCAAATGCTATAGCAGGTAAGATTTGGATAAGCTTTTGTTTGAGTATATTTTTTAACCAGCCATAAAACATGTTTTAAATCAGTTTCTTAAATTAGCGGAATGTTAAGCTGAGTCTTTTGTTTACATTGATCAAGAAATAATGTTTTATGTCATATTTATTCTCGTGGACAATAATGAGGAACTTCTTGACTGTGAAAGTGAAATGGCCAATTAATTAAATGTTTCACTGAAGTGCTTACTATGAAATAATTAAAATGCCTTGGCTAAGTTAGAACAAAAATCTATATTAAATAATGTTTGCATAAAACAGTGTTACAGGGTTACTAGAAAAGGATAAGTAAATCTCCAGGTCCCCATATTAGTCTACCAATTGATCTCAAGGAAACAAGATTTCTTAGGCTGTTAACAAAACTCTTCCAGCAGTCTCTCATTCTGGGGTAACATCTATTGACTGTTTGCTAATGCAATACACATCTATTAAAAGGTCAACAAAACCAAACCAGGCAATTACAGACAATAGGTCTTACTTCATTTACATTCAGGATATGGAAACCATAAGTAGAATGAACCTAGAGGGTCTAAAAGTTATGTTTTGCTAATCTAACCTGTTGCAATTCTTTGAACAGGCAACAGTTATAATGGGAACAGAGATAGTATGGTTTATTTTGATTTTCCTAAGAAATGATGAAGTCACATAGGTCTCTCAATATGCAGTTGGTATAAATGTTATGAATGCATCTGGACTGAGTAATCCTCCTTAATCTATAGAACACAGATGGGGTGTGAATGTTGAACTTTGTGTGACATAATTAGTGGAGCATCACAGGACATACATCTGTATTAAGAGCACTGCTCTTACTTATTTTGTATGAGTGATCCATATTCTGTCTGGTGTAGTAAGCAAACAAAAAAAAATAGTGAAAAATATTGCATGGAGATAGTAAAAACAAAGACTATAAAAATAAAATGCATAACTGAACCTAAGTGAAACACATGAAACACTTAAGTCTTTATAATGACAACTTATAGACAAAAGTGTAGAAGTGTAGAAGCAGAACTGCAATGCTTTTTTTATATTTCAGGGTTAGAAAGAATCAGCATTGATGAGTGCATTTCAAAACAATAAAGTAAAAAGTACTTAGTATCTTATAAAACCTCCAATTCCAATCTAAAAACAGTGTAAATATGCCATGTTCTGCGATTTAGAATGAGGCAACAGAACTTCTGGCGATGTGAATACATCTCTTTTAATCCAATAGAAGTGCTCCTCTCGATTTTGAAACAGTTTTGCTGACAAACACTACTTGTTAACTATGCATGCAAATCACATTGGAACATTTGTGGGGTGAAATGTGTGCTGCATAACCTACTGTATACTTATGCGCTCGTACATCGGACTATATTAGTCATTACAGTGACTAGTGAGTAGGAAGGGGCCGCTTTATGTTGCAGTTCATGGGAACTCTCGCTTTTACATAAGGCGAGACTAGGGGTTTATGACAAAATGGTGACTTACAGTACTTTCACAAAGGTCACGATTTTTGGCTTAAATCGAAGTTTGTAAAAACGTTCTATAACATCAGTGAATTTATTGTATTATGGAGATTTAATAACCAGTCCGAGAAATTGGGACTGCAGTTCCCCTTTATATAACGGAATGTTATAGTCAACTATAGTCAACTAGTAGGATCTTATGTAGAATATTGTATCCAATATTCGTTCCCATATTACAAAAAAGATATTGCTTTTCTGGAATCAGTCCGGAGAATAGTAACAGATGCAGCCATCCAAGATGTGGGAGGTGTCAGGCAACAGGTGGTGTCAGGCTTACTACAGTAAGTGCCGTATCACGACGAATATATAATAATTTTTCAAATAATCTGATACAAGATTCCACTACTCTGTAAAACTGCCTGTTGGCACAGTGAACCCTTAAAGTACTGCAGCTGAGTATGGCTGTCACACATATTAGTGATTTCCTGCGCTAATCATATCATATGCGAACTATACTAGTGACAGTTTCATCAAATACAATGATTACATTGTTGAGTGAAGGAGTGGTGCTAGTAACGGCATCTAGATGAAGGCAGTCTGCAAGAACAATGGTCATCAGTAGTATACTGTAGTTGATGTACTGAATGGATATCTGTGGGTATGACTTCTCATGATTCTTTAACATGTATGGCATGACAGGAACTATAGTTTTTTTGTTGATGTATTCAGCTTCATATTAGATATTTATATAACATTTACCATACTATGTTATATGAATTTAATAAACATATCTTTATAGTATACCTATTATTTATTATATTTTATTTATTAAAAAATAGTATTTATTATTTCGAAGGGGCAATTATTTAAAGCAGAACTTGTGCATTAGATGGGAATTGTACCCAGGCTACCTGTGTGACAACCAATATATTTTGTACATGTTAAAAACTAACATTAAAAACTAAAGATAATATTTTGCGCAGCAGCTCTGCTTTGGGGGGGGGGGGGGGGAGAAAACACAAGAAAATAACTTAAAATATTTATGCACTTTGTGAGTGGCATTTATTAATTTCACATTTCTAAAATAATTGTCAATTTTCAATGGGTCGGTTTAAAACAGAATCAGAAGTTCAAAGGAAAGCATATAGTATACTGCATTTTTAATTTGGTGCTTGAGCCAAATACCTGGACACCATAAACTACATTTTCTGATCGGTGATTACCATTAATGTTTACCATTAAAATAAATATTTTTTTAATTAATTAGGCTGCATCTATACACACCTGGGTTCACAAATAGAAACATACTTACAGGAAGGGGAATGTGGTGAAGTGTATCAAAACTGAAAGCAGGAGAAAAACTTTTTTCAATGAAGGGACTCTGGAACAAGCAACCCAGCCATGGTGTTGAAGCTGATTCCGGAGTATTTTTCTTGAAATGGCTAGGTGGGATCTTGGGATCTATTAGCTACTACTGTAATGACCAAATAAGCTAAATGGGTTGATTGCCTTCCTGTTATTTGGAACCTACAGTATCTTGTATTCTGTTTTTTTGTCCTAATAGACCACTATCACCACCTACAGTATAGCAGCAGCTTGTTTTTTAAGGGTCATATGTCACAATGCTAACTAGTCTCACTACAAAAAAAGCGAAGTCCTTGTTTTTGGGCTTATCAAGACTTATCAGGAAATTTCAGTGTAATGTTATTTAAAAATAATTGATGATTACAGCCTACAGTGTTCTGCCATTTCCAAACTGTGTGTATTTCATTTGTGGTATAGTTGGCAAATGCTGTAAAGTATTTAAACCATATCCTTTAGTCACATCAAATTAGACAGTTCTAGTGTTCGGTCACCCGCAGTTTTCATCATCCATACTGTTCCAAGTCTTTTGTCCAGTGGGACATTCGTTCATTGTAATGTTCAAAGTAAAAAAAAGTTTCTATAAAAATCATACATTAATCATGTTTTAAACTGCAGTATCTATTTCAGCTTAACATCTTTTTCTAATGTAAATTAGATCCACTCATTGTATTTACGTAAATGTTGACACAATTACAATTAAAACAACACCTTTATAAAAGAGTATAGTCTAGGCTGTTGTTTCTATTGCCTGATTAATAATACCCTATCTGTTATCATCATAATGTTGTGGTAAGAATTGGCAAGAAACGTTAAACATTTGATTTGTACTGTTTTGTAAAGTTCTTATTGAATGTTTTGATTTTGTCTTTACTGATTGTTGAACATATGCAAAGTCTGATTATCTGTTGTTGTGAAACTAGTGGAAATCAAATTGGAGGAATTTGTAGATGTGCATTGAAATACAAATAATACATTTCCGTAGCTTTTATAATGACACAATAATAATTGTTTTGGTGATGGTGTTAACACTAGTTAATTCTGCATTCAGTCAATTTCCGATAAATGCACATTTAAAAAGGGCCTTATCACTTCACATGCTGAACATCTTCTGCTTTGAACGTGTTACTTACACACAACCAACTGACGTTTGTGCTGTTTAACTTTGCAATTCTAAAGAGACATATTTTTTGTTATGTTAGCAAGAATGTGATTAGGAGAGTTATCTAAAATACTTTAATTTTGTTCCCTTAAGTTTGTTTCAGGTTATTGAATGATTTGTATCATTTTTAGAGACAATTATATGTTATAAACCTTACAAGTAAACCTTTAGTTTTATCTGTCAAAATCACTCTTCATTGCTTTTTGTGTTTTGTAGCATCTTCATGGAAGCAGATACCATTTGGTTTGCAGAAATGCTCACAACCATCACCAACAACCATGTAAGCAGGCTACTTAGATTTTAAAGCTTATTAATTATAAAATATGTCAAATATGATTTGTCAATTTGAAGATAGAGTTTGTAATATTTTACAGAACCAATGTTTCTTTTGTGTCTAAAAATCAAACAGTTCCCATTTTAAGGCTTAAATACAGTAACATTTTTCATGATTATCTTTATCTTGTATTTTGCAGGAGGTAAAATTCAGAGACCTGCTGTAATAAATGTGGCAAAAGGGTGAAGGCAGAGAAATTTGAAACTGTTTTCAAGTAGAAAAAGTTTCAAATTGTGACTTTATTTTTAAAATACTAAATTACACTCTCCTTCCTTGACGTACTAAATGAGGTTCTGAAACATTAATCTTATATGTCTAAAAAGCCATATAGATTTTGAAAAGTACTTTTGATCACAAAATATCCTACATTTTGGGCAGACTAATTATACAAATATGTAAAAAATTGAGCAACAAAGTGTTTTATTGGCAAAAGAAAATTCTTAATTGCAAAGAATTAATGCTCCTACAATGATCACTGCTTGACAAATTACAGACCACCAAGTTGTGTTTAGAGTAAAGTCATTAGAGGCGATGTAGAAGTCTCCTGCTCTTTACTGTACAACTCCCTAGATGACTTTTTCAGCTCTTGCTCCAAAATACACACGATTCCAGAAGAGAAAGGAGATCCTTTAATATAAGCATTATTTCCTGGGTTCATGTATCTGCACATACTCTGTGCTACCAACTGTTCGACTACTGAATTTCAGTCTGATGTTTAAATGAGGCTTACTTAGTAGTCGTGAATTTTACTTGAATACTCAGTAGAGATACTAATGTTTCTACTGTATATTTTTACCTAATTTAAAGAATAATCATATGTCTTGAATACATGTTACACATACAAAATATATAATTATAATACACATTTACATAATACAATAATACAATCTGAATACAGGCTTTTTGTATTTCATATGGTATATGCTGAACCACATTGAGGCTCCAAATGATGCATAATATTGATTCTTTATCTTTCCCCAGGTCTGAACCAATGGATGTGGATGTCCAGAAACAATTTAGAAAAGTATGCCTCATAAATTATGGTGTTCACCTCATTATTTTTTATTAAAGCAGTATTACAATACCTACCGTATTTAAAAATATGTACATGTAACTCTTTATATATATATTCTACACAACATTTCAAAATGTTTTTAAAATGTTTTAATACTGCATCTCAAACATAAAAGAACTATAGGTGCTCTTTTTTGGAGCCAATTGTATGTATAATATTTTATGGTTCTAGTGGTCTATCATATATCTGGCCAGTTTGGGACCCAGGTAAGAGTAGATGAGTGAAATGATGCATCATTGTTTGCTGTGATACATCATGCACCAGCATTAGTTATAGCTTTACCAATAAAGATGAACACTTATTTCAGATTTCTGATAGAACCTGGCATATGTGATTATATGAACCTGGCATATGAAGACAGCTATATAACCTCCTAGTAGTGTTTATTACTACATTTGTGAACAGAGAACTGAGTGTTTATTTCTAGAATAAGGTATTCTTTTCTAGAATAAGGGAAATTAATTTAAAAATTGTTCTGTTATAAAGTACATTCATTAATGTGCCAGATTAAAGAAATCTTTTGTTTTTGCCTTTTCAAAGATATTTTTTACCGGAGAGATTATACATTAGCTCTGTGTGATTAGCATGCGGTTTACTCTTGTTTTGATCAAGGTGTGTAGCCAATCAGGAGGTACATACTGTATGCGGATAAGATAAGTTATGGGAGCACATTTTAGTATTAAGGAAAAGTATTGTTAAATGCTTTTTAGTAGTTTTTGTTACGCATGGATTGCTGTATTTATTAGCATCTCCTGTTTTCTGGTGAGTGAGACCCATTCTGTTACATTATAACAGGATCAGATTGCCTGTGTTTATATACAAAATGAAAGTATAAATCAATACAGATGCAATCTGATGTGCCTTGTACTTATAAACCTTCTTAAGTGCTTTTTTGTGGTTTATTAATAAGTAGTCTGCAGACAATATTCCCTTTTAATCTCCACTCTTGGTCATGTCTGATGAAAGATGTTTTTAGACAGCTGGCTAAAGAAATAACCATCTGGCTGATCTGTCACCCACTATCATTTTACATATATGCTGGATTGTTGCTCTTATCCATAGTACAGTAGGCTAACAAGGATATGGATATATGTTTTTATAGATCACAGGCAATCACCTGTAAAAACATGCGAAATTCAGTTGGCATGAGAATAATTTTAAGCGTTGTATGTGTGGGATGTATCATCTTAAACTAGACATTCAACACTCTAAACACAAAACAGCAAATAGTCACTAAATAACACAAATCTTTTTTTTCTTTTTCATGGAGCTTACATTCTAATGCACAAATGTGTTCTTTACTGTCTTTGATTTGCAATACTTGAAACCAGCTAGCTTTTTGATGAGATCATCAACATCATCATAACTCTGTCATCATGAAAGACTTTATGTATTTATAAAGGCAAAAGAGGATATAGACATTTTTATAGTTGTCTCGAGGCAGGTGCTCTGTTAAAAAATCTGAAGTAGTGTGAAATGTTACTTTTGACTTAATGACTTGCTAGGTTCAAACAGAGATGTGCATGCCCTAGCAGTTTAATTTAATGTTTACATGTGTTTTTAATCCTTGATACACGTCCAAGGCATTTACCTTTTTCATCACATCAGCTATTGGAATAAAATATCTTATCCATTACCTTAAACAAAAAACATATTTGTCTGAAAACATAAACCACATGTGAGAAGAAGCTCTTTACTTCTGTAATGTCTGTAATGGATCTGCTTTGGAGGTTCTGTGCCCTGAGTTCTAAAATTGCTGAATTATTGTTTGAGTCTGCATCTCAGAAGGATTTGTTAAAGTCTGATGTTAAAGAAGTTTTATTCCATTATATCAGAAATTCCAATTGTTTTTTGTTAGTTTGAATTATATGTAAACACATTCATCAAATAAATCATCATTACAATTTTTATCTTTTTTATATTGTTTTACCATTGACAACAGCCCGAGATGTCATCAAGTAGGATTTCTTTAATAAGTCCACCCCAGGACGGGCATATGGGTAAGTTGGTGACATTTAGAGTATGAATTATTAATATTTCATAAGCACGTTTGTAAAAGATGTGAGAAATGTTGTGCTGTTTTTTATTTTTGTATACTATAAATATTGTTATCCTTTATTATTTACTGAAATGGTGAGTCTTGACCAGCAAATATTTTTTTTAATTCAAAGAAAATTATAAATCTAATTTTGAATTACTAACATAAGATTTTTAGTTAAAGCAATTAAAATGAAAGTTATTTAAATCAAGTCGTTTACTTGAAGTCTAGTTAGATTTTTTTGTTGATCTTCTTAACATCATTAAACATTCATTGGACAGTTACTTGGAAAAGCTTCATAGTGCTTAATTTCTTTCCAAATTAAGTATCCTCAGTTGTATCCGGCATTCTGTTTTGCATTTAAGCAAAATTAATAGAATTATTTATCATTGAGAGAGTAACTGTTTGCATATCCACGTAAGATATTTTGCTACTTTGATGGTAAAAAGTGGTGAAGAACACATGTATATTTAGATTTTGCATGAATATTAATGAATAATTGCTTGTTATACCAAAACAGTCTCTACCCTTGTGAAGCACTGAAGCACTTTCAAAAAGAAAATACTACTAATAATAGTACTGCAGTAAATGTGGTTTCACCTGTAAAATAATTTACAGCAGCTAAGAAGCTGCTAGTACTATTTCTTATTCTAAGAGCACAAATAAGTTTCATATGGTCTTGAAAAAACTAAAGCTTTAATCCTGATTTTAAATTCTGCAACCCATATTTCTCCTTAATTTTAGACATCTAATGATTATTTTGCCAGAATGTTAAAAGAAAACTATTGAAAATAGCTACAGTCAAGTTATTCTTGTGTAAAAAAAATGTTAGATATCTTTATTGTTGTGACGAAGACAATGATTTGTATCTGTAAAGATTCAGACTTGTTAATTTTGCATTTTAGTATTTAGTGGTTTGAAGCTGCTATATGTTCTATCAAATTTGATCAAACACCAGTCCAATCTTATACAAAATGTAAGTGTCTTACTACTTTTAAAATTAATTGTGCTTCTTTTGAGGGACATGTTTTAAATTCCAAACGTTGGGAGGTTTTGGTCAAAATGGTTGTCTGCTGTGTCATGTTTTATGTGTTAAAGATTACAGAACCTGTTGACTACATTGTTGATTGAAGATGCAGTATTTATGGCATAAACTTTGTACAGTATGTGTATAAAGCAGTGGATTATTGTTTTGGAAACATATTGAATTAAGCATGTTCTGAAACAAAGCAGCACTCAGAAGAAAAGATTTCTGAGTTGGCAGCGTAGAAAAAATCCATGCAGCTTTTATTGAATAGGGTTTTATGACATTTTATTAATGCCAGTCTTTAAAATGTTTGGTATGGAATGGACAGTTCTTAATATAATTTGGTTAAAATTAATTATAAATATTTTAATCAATAGGATACTTCAGGAAACTACTTGAACTTTTTGGCCCATTTAAAACATAGCCAGACAAGCTGTTTTTTTTTTCCAGACAGCCTCCTCTCTCTTGCAGTAAATGTCATATATAGAACTGTAACTTGATGCATGAGGGCTGATTAAAAAAAACACTTTTGGTCTCTATTTGTTTTAAGAAGTTATATAGTATCTGCAGAAATTAAGATTTCACATCTGAATGATCATATTTCAATAGCACCAGTGACATTATAAGCATTCGTTTTTTGGTCCTACTTATGAATATTAAAAAGATACCGTAGAGTGTAATTTTAATGCTGAATTGTTTGTTGTGTAGGTGCTATCCCCCACAGGGTTACTAGTCAGAGCTGTTTGGTGGCAAATCGCTCCTCTCGAACTGTACCTGTCAGGTAATTTCACATTAGATACCTTATGACGTTCCTCTTATGGCATTCCTCTTTAATTCTTATGTAATTGTCTTTATAATTTAATTGTAGCTAGTGCGACTAGCTATTTTTTTATCTCCGCAATTTTATTAAAATGTACCTTTGATAATTATTTTTGTACGGATTTCATGCCTGACTGTGTATTACATACTATGAAATTTCTGAAATATTTTTCACAAAAGGATTTTGTGGTAACACCATCCAAGCATAACAAGTATAATCTAAGTTAAATCAAGTGAAAGTGGCTAAGAAATCAGAGACATAAACAAATTATTATAATAAACGATGTTATTATACAGCTTAAACCAAGGGTAAAGTTTAAATGTGTTAATAAATTATTGTATGCTATGTAAGCATTGTAAAATTATTGAACTTATCTATATTTACAGATCATATAGTTCATCTATATACAGTAGAATATGTTGGTGGAGAAACATTTACATTTTCTTAGGTCAGCTTTTTGAAATGACAAAACAAATTGTTCTTTTTTTTTTTCAAGGACCTCGCACTTGGAAAAAAGTAAACTTGACATGTGCTTAGAGTACTGACACCAATAAAAGTTTAGATTCTTTGTTGTGTGAAGTGTAAAAGACCTGTTAATTAATTTTACTTGCTTAATGTAGAAAAAAGCTAATGTTAATATAGGTTTCCCCTTTAGAATCAACCTGGGATTTGTTTTTGTAAAATCACCAGTTTAATTCTAAAACATGGTTATTTTGAAATTATTTTAGTTGTTTTTGAAAATAATATTATTATTTTATGGTGAATTATTGTATTAACTCTATTACTGATTTTTTAATTCACTGTTTTTAATGTAGGTTACCTTTAAAAAAACTGTCAGCTGAAAAAAATTTAGTATAATAAATCTTTTGTGGCAGGCAGCAAATTAAATATTAGTAGCAATTATTAGGCCTAAATGTTTTGATGAAATCAATTAAATGATCTATATAATTAGTTTAAAAACAAACTTTTGCCTGATAAATGTAGGTGCAGTAATTATTTAATGGCACTTTAATTATGGTTAATAATGTTATAAAGAACATAAGAAATACACCATACTTACTGCCAAGATAATTTGCTAACAAAATTGTTGCTTTTGATGGACCCCTTTAACTTAATATTTCAGAATTTTCAGCCTTGTAGCCGTTCTGAGTAGTAATAAACCATACCATGTAAATAGTCCGTTGTCTGTAAATAAAACATTTGTCAGTTCTGCGTTTTTTCAATTTCTAATTCAGTTCAGGTTCTTGCTGTAAAGTAACCTTGCAAGAATGTGCATATATCTTAATATGAAGCATTCCCATTCTTTCAGGCAAATTAAAGGCTTTTAATATTTTTTTAACTCATCTGTCCATACTTCATGTCCTGTGTCCTGTTATCACCAGTATATGTCAGGAATGTGAAAAATAAATACAACTTTGTATAGTGGAACTTGTACATTTAAATAAAATTTACAAATAAAATAAATAAATAAAGATATTGTTAAATTAATATTATTATAGTATAAAAAGAGTGTCTACTAATACTATTTATATAATACCATGACCATTTTCACAATATGGCTTTAAGGTATGCTTTTCTTTCATTTTTTTCTTTTTATTATGTACTGTAGAAAGTACAATGAAACACTTAATGGAAATTCATGGAATTAGGAAGTGTTATGTATCATTATATATTATGAAATATAAATTGTGCTTGTTGTGTACCCTAGAATGGTTATCTAACACATCGTCTTGTATTCTTTTTTGTGTTCCAAGTAGGACACATTCAAACACGATGACGTCATTGCAAGAATTCCGGCCTGGCAGTGCACTTTCGAACACCATGACATCATCACAAGAATTCCGGCCAGGCAGTGCACTTACGAACAAGATGACATCATCACAAGAATTCAAGCCGGGCAGTGCACTTACGAACAAGATGACATCATCACAAGAATTCCGGCCGGGCAGTGCACTTACGAACATGATGACATCATCACAAGATTTCCGTCGGAGAGGATTGTCTTCTCAGATATACAGAACCGAGGAGACATGGAATGGCTCAAGCTTTAGAAGACAAGAACCTGTCTATTCTTCACTGTCCTCCCTGGTGTCTGTAAGGGAACCCTTCAGCATCCATGGTCTTCTCCATGGTAACCAAGCCAAATGAATGTCACTGGAGGATTATCTCTTCTTAACTAGGCAAAGAGGTAAAGATATTAACATGTTGACAGAGGATTATCTTAAAATTTTCTGTTTGTCCTGGTATTCTCAGTGAAGTGTCCACAAGTATACATGGCAATATTCAAGTGGGTGTTTCTGAAATGTATCCAGTAGGTGTGCGTCTAATACATGAGTGCTACAGTATACCTGACATTATTATTTTTTAATTAATAAAAAATAGGGAAGACAGTGCAAGTAACCCCTTTGTTTATTTACGCATTTTCAGGTAAGTAGTTCCTTTAATATCTTTTATTAATTCAGACTTGACTCACCTTAAAATAAACTTTGTTTTTGGTACATTGAGTTTTTAAGGAAAAACAAAGATTGGTTTTCTGGTGGAACTTGCTTAATCATATTAAAGTTTTAATTTCATATGTATTTTCTAACTCCTTCAGAACAAAAGGTGTAAAAAACATTAATGAAGGTTAATTAAAAAACACCAGTCAACAATATACAGTATCTGAATAAAGGATTTGAGTCTTTTTCAGGTCATTGTTTTCTCAGACTAGATTAATTCTGCAATTCAGCAGGTAGAAACTGTATTTAAATTGTCAACCTGGGAACAATTAAATACACAGATGCAAAAAGTAAATTCATTATAATGTATTTTTGCAAGCACAACTTTGTATTAATTTGTGCATCACAATAAATCAAGTTTTCTCTTGTGAATCAAAACTTTATTCTCTCTAAATGATCTTCTTAATTTCATGTTTAATTAGTATAGGCTTACAAAATATTGACCATTCCAAATACTGTTTCCAAAAAAGATGTAATTAATTTGGAAATACACATAATATTATGCATTGTACCAAAATGCAATACAGTACCAAAACAAAGCTGATCATTGCTATGTGAACCACATACTGTAGGGAGTAACTATCTGGTCCCGTCACTGTCTGTAATTTGCTGTAACTGCACCAGAGGTCACTGTTAACCTCTGCAATAAATCCTAACATAATACCTGCAAAGGAACAAGGTTTATTCCCTGCTGAAAAGAGAAGAAAGTAAACACAACGTTTCGGCTGTGGAGCCTTCTTCGGTGTTTCCTTTCTTCTCTTTTCAGCATGGAATAAACCTTTAACGTGTTCCTTTGCAGCCTGTGCATGCTGATGCAGCCACCTAATTGAACTAATATACCTGCCAAGCTACTATGGATGTTTTGCATAGTTTAAGAAAACTGTAGGGGAATGAGAGAAGTTTGTATTGTGAAATGTAAATATAAATGAGAATTACAGTGCTTTAGGTAGTTTATAGGTGGTACAGGTACAGTATGTATAACATATCACATACAAATTCAGTAATTCATTTTTTGTTTTATCCTGTACAAACAGTATATTCAGCTTCAGTATATTTACTTAATATCAATTCTTTATTTGGAAGTTTGGATTATATTTTTGACCATTAGGAAATATGATTGAAGTCTGTTTTTCAGTGTTAGGCTTTTATAAAAGCCTTCCTTCATAACATGAGGAAAAAAGTTGCATTTTTTAAAAAGGCAAATTGTTTTTTGAAAATACCTCTGAAATTTCAATTCACCAAATTTTGAAAGGATGTAAGGAACTGCATTTTAGGAAATATATACCTGAACATGAAATGGATATATAAAACCATATGCATATGGTCTGTGTAACAGTGAAATTTATTTAACTAGTTTTTAAAGGGAGGTTGGATAACTTCATAATGCAAAGAGTCCATAAACCTGGACATATTATATACCAAAGTACATGGGGCTGCTCTGATTTACAAGCTGGACTCTTTTGTGTCCTTTTATTGTCGGTTGGGCGAACAGCTTATATGGAAGCAATTTCCAGCTATTCAGGCTAAAGCAGTGGAGCCAGGAGAAACGGGGTCTTAGGAGAGCTTGCAGCTGCTGCAATTGCTAGCTTCCTGTGGGCAACCATACACGACAGGCAAGAGTGATACAGGAGAGAGACTTGTTGATGTGTATCCTTAAAAAGTGTCAGATTTTGCAATTAGTGTAGTTCTAGCGTACTAAAGAAACTACTGATGAATTCCATGTCTGAATAATTTTAAATACAGCTTTACTGAAAGATTAAGAAGGTACTGAAAGAAAAAGTTATATATTTAGTTATAACAACAATCTCTCATTTTTATTGTGGTATAGTTTTTAATGAAAACACAGCATCATGAAACTTAAGACTGGTTTCAGTTTTTTTTTTAACCCCTAACTGGAGTTTTAAACCCAAGAAAGGTATTATTGAAATTATTAATGAAGAGCAGTATGGACAATCTCTGCCTGGAATTTTAATGATGCTTATGGGGGTTTGTGGAGTGGGTTCAGGAGCAAAGTAATTCTTTTAAAAACAAATGTTTAAATAATTTTAGTAGGAAATATTCAACAGGGCTAGTTATTTTCCCAAAAGCATAACGTGCCCATCTAAAGGAGAAATCGGTGCAATTCAATTCTTTGTAGTTTTTATTTAAATATTTAAATTCTTATGCAGAGAAAATACAATTTTCAATAATACACTATATAAAATGATGATGATTACTGAACTCTCTATTGGATACTCTTAGAGAGCACTTCATATTTATAGAGATTCAAATTGGATTTATTTCAGACTTTTTAATGCATCATTTCACGCAGATTGCAGATGTTTGTGTCCCTGAAGAACATGTTCAGATTTGGCTAGATCGAGAAGAGACATTAAAAGACACTTATTTTCTTACCAATTTTTATTTATTTGAAACAGCAGTAACATAATGTATTTCTGGAAGGCTACTCTAAAAGAAATGTCATGAAAGTGAAAAGAAAATGGAGATCTGGCTAGTATATCTTTTAACAGCCCAAAAGTGAACATTTCTGTGTTATTTTTAAGCTGTTCCAGCTACATTCTAGCTGATGGTTTCAACGTTCCAGTCCAGTGACATAGTTATGTAGTAAATGCTTATGAACAGTTTATATTTCCTATACATCGGATCTGAAGTTCTAGTAAGGGGCTTTGTTTAATATTTTGTACACGGTGAGTGTTGTGAGTCAACTGCAGGATGAAGATTAGGACAAAAAAAACATTATTAGTGGAAGTCTGTTTCTTTTTGTCAAGTGTAATAAAGATTACATGGAAAAGTCTCATACACATTTTTGTCAATCTGTTACTGTCATAAAACATGATTTGTGGTTTAAATATTATTTGTTCTTAAAAAGCCCACTGTTCAGTTACCTTGAAAAACATTTTGAAGACAACAAATGCATGTTTCATAGAGACAGTTTATTGTTAAGGGTTTAAGGCATATTCCTGTTTTTTCCGTCTTGATGAAATGAAAGACATGAATGTCTTGACATTTTTAATTTGTAAATCTTATGGGGCTAAAATGGATAACTAAAATAAAGTTGTGTATTTATAAGAATTGTATTTCCCTTGTGAAAACCACCTACTTTGTGTATGTACTTTGAAGACACTATTGAAATACAGCACTTCAATAGCTTTTGTAGTAGGGAATATATCATATTTCTCCTACATTTCATGCAGTATTACCAAGGTTATTTGATTATTTTACAACCACCTCATTTGGAATGGTCAAAAATGTTCATGACTTGGCCTACATGACCCTGTACCCACATGAGGAAAATAACAATGCAGACAGGCTCCTCCACGTAAACGACAGCAATGTACAGGAGCTGTGGTGCCAACTGGAGGAGAGGTGCATCCTTCACAGATGTCACCACAGGGCTGCAGGTGTTGCTGCTTCAATGGGGTCAAGAAAGCCCTGGCTGACTAATTCCAACCCTAAATTAAAACCAACTGTGCAGCCCCACCTGGGGACTTGGGTTTATTTACATGTGATGTGTGTTTGCGCAATGGGCTTCATTTTAGATGAGGATTTCTTGAGGGTAACCTGTTGGAACATAGTCAAATCTTAATAAACCAAAGAAGAGATATTAATTATTAAAGACATGGAAACATGCCTTTCAGTCATTTGGTAATGATGAGGCACGAGAAAAAGAGCATTGACCTCTGCATGAAACAGATTTATGTGAAAATCAAATAGAAACAGACTGGTGTTGAAGAATAGCACAAACCGTTTACATAAAGTAAGCGAAATTACAGAAAAATAAATTCAATCGATAGTTGGATGTAAAAACTGTAATGGTGGGATGTCACTGGGATGATAACCAGTGACAGGCTCACAAATTGGGGAATAGCCCATTACAAGTGCAGATACACCTGCCTCACAAACACATCCAATGCAATAAACAGAACAAACTCAGGGGCACAACAATGGAATAATTTTTCCAATCTTATATACATTAACATCAGCACCATAACTAATCAAAAACTTCAAAGTCTCAGAGACGTTCACAGTACACTTCAGGTCTGATCTTGTTTGCATGGATACTGAATACTGATCGTATGTAATGGATATAGGTTCACAAGATTGGAAGGCATGCCTGTATTTTTGTTCTGGAGATCATAAGCATTTTCTATAAAGTAGAACTTGTGGTGCCTTTTCGTGTAAGTGCCAAAACACGCATTAGGTGGAAGATATCAGCAATCTCTGTCCCTTCCTGCCACAGAATCTGTACTCTTACACCTCTTGCATTTTATGTTGAATTCATCCTGCCTCCACCCCATCTCCACCTTTGTAGCTACTACTTGGGGGTCCTCTGAATGGGGGTCAAGCCTCCTTGTCCTATTGCCAGGAGGCTACCTCTTAACCAAGCAGACTAAGCCAAAACTTATACTTAAATACTGAAACATCCGCAAAGCATCTGATTCTTGGATGTTGTAATTTCTCATGAAATGAAGCCTCAGTTATTTGCACTATTTTAAAAACCTGCTTTAAGTTATGGAGTTGGACAGTGAAACTGTGAACCCAAACCACCATCCCAGTAAAGGTTAAACGAGCTATTTATTTGGTGCAGCATTTGCATAAGCAGAACTGTTTCTGTACATTTTATTGGATTGTGGGGAGTTGTGGTACAGTATTGTGGTGCATTTGTTCTCAAATTGTATATTTAATATCCACATTTTAAAATATCAAGTGGTTGTCTTTAGCTTTGTAAAATGTGATTTTATTTCAGAGCTGGTGGTATTAGATTTCTTGTTTGTAAGCATGTTAAAATATTTTACAACACATTTTGCAGTCACATAAAGTTTTACACACCACAAAAAATCATTAATTTTTACGGACTCTATAACATCTAACATTTTTTGTTGTGGTAAGGAATTAGTTTTTACTAATTTAATACTAATCAATGTTAAAATATATTTGCTCTTTACTATTTTATATTTAAAAAATCTGAACTAATGTGGATTCAATTTTGCATTGAAAGTTTGTTGCAGTAACACTCAAGAGTTTCAATTTTTATTTATTTATTGTTAGACATGATAAGGTCCTGTTATAGTACAACACTGGCATAAGATCTGTCATCAAAGCTTTGCAGCATGCAGTTTGTGCAAACCTTATTTTTAAAGGGTTAGGGTTTAATATAATCTTTAATCAGTCTTTAATATGTATAAATGTTATTTGAAGTATTGTCTTAGTAAATCATTGATACTATAAATCAAAATGATGAGATAGCTTATCCCTTAATTATGATATATATATATATTTGGAAGTCAAAGTGTTGTGCTTTACAGTATATAATCAAGAGGTTTTCCTTTGTGT